AATGCGCGCGCGCAGCGCTCGCTCAAGGGCGCAGAAATCTGTGTTGCGAGGCGTATACTGTAGTTCGCTGCGGACGGTTGGGCGTGTCAGTGCGGCTGCGTTTGGCGCGGTGCCAAACTCGTTCTCACCAGTTGTTGAAGCGGGCAAGTGACAATACTGTATCATATCTTCGTATTACTCGTTTTCTACCACTTTTTGTCGCATGCGCTCTTCAACAAGAAGGCAGAGAACGGCTTTGATAGGGTGACACACTCATACTGGCTGACACGCCCAACCGTCCACAGAGAATTAATCTTATCATAATATATCTCGGGGATTTATCGTGTCACTTGTCTTTAACACAGTTGATAGCACCTAACAACAAATTTTTTCCAAAACTTTCTTTCCATTTTTTTCTACCACCGTTTCAAAAACTCACGTGTTTATCCTTGTGGTAAGCAAAGAGTTGAGATCTACACGCACAGTTACACCGTTGGAGTCTTCAACACTACCTATCCATTCGAATTCTCGAGTCAGTTCGATACGGACTAAAAACATCTTGTTTACAACAATCTAGTAATTGCCCAAAAAAAAAAAGCAAAAAAATCTATGTAGGCGAAGACCTTGAGCTCGCCCCTCCCATCTCGATATGAGCAGAAAAAGAAAAAAAAACACGGAAGCAATGGAAGACTAACCGAGGTACATCTTGTTAGCCACACAGAAGGAGAGCTCGTAGCGAGCTGCGGAAGGCACAATGCGAATATCAACATGGGGCTGTCCTTCCTTCCATTTTCCGCTGGTCATTGACAACAGCGACTCCCAGAGACTGTTATGTATTGCTTGAGCCCGGACGATGGAAACTATCTACAACCAACAGAAGGTAATACACGATTTACAGTAACACAGCTTCCAAACATGAATATTAAGTAAACATTTTGACAGTGGTCTTACCTCAGCAAGATCCGAGCCGTTTCCTATACAAATTTCAGATATAACACAGTCTTTCTCCTCCAGGAGGGAATTGGTGCACACAGTGTACCAATGTTGGCGAAACGGCTCCGGGAAGCAGGTACGCATCACGAGCTCGGATTGCTGAAAAATGTTTAAAAATAAAGAAGATCGTGGAATGAAGATTGCAAATATTCCACATACAACAGAAGTACTCGCCTCAAACTTGAAACCACTCATGTATCGATACAAATTGACATTCTCCTTCACAGCGGCTGGCCTTGCCAGGTGCCGTTCCAGGCGTCGCCACATACCGTAGCTAAAGAGCATCGGCGAGGAAAAACGCAGTTGAAAACCAGCCTTGCATGTCGAAACTGAGGACCATGGGTTGCTAGAAATCAAAAAATACAAGAAGATTAGTACAGGCTTGTTCGCTGTGGATGAGGCGTTCCAAGGTGGTGGATTTGACGAGGCGCCAGCCTTCTTTATACCCATTAGCTGTCGTTTGCTTTCAACACTCGGTGAATACAAGCTGGCGCCGTGCCAAACCCTGTCCCCATGACACACCCCCAGCATCCGCAGTGAACCAGATTATATAGTTCGTTGACGAAAATTGAAAATTTTGTTGGTGGGGAAAAACTGCTGGTCAGAAAGCCTAGTTAACATTTGAAGATTTAGAGAGTGCTATAAACAGCAAATAATTAATAGGTATTTGTAGGATGCGAAGAATTTTGGCGTGAAAGCAGGTGTTCCCTTTAGCACACATCTCGCACGGATTGTAAGAAGTAGGAGTAAGCAGATTCGACTAAAACGATAATACTGAATAAAATTCTAGGATTAGAAGTGAAAGCAGCTTTTCAGAAAAAAGGACTCGAGAAAAACTCATCAAATAGGGCAAGGAAATAGCAGTCTAGCAAGAAAAGGTGGAAACAGACCGTGAATCCCCAGCTGGGAGCTGTATCTCCTTATCAAGAGCAACTACTGACAGCTCCATATGGTCGAGATTGTCAAAGTCTGCAAAATAGGCTATAAAAGAAAACCATGATCGTTGTATGATATTTAAAACAGCGGATATGGTGCAGAATAGCTCAAAAACTAGTAGGAAACATTTCAAGAAAAGTAATCTAAACAATGAAGATGCTAAAGAAACAAACAGACTCTTTCAAGAAGAAGTCTAACCTGAGAGCTCCAACTGAGGCCTCTTCTTTGTCACAGTATAGGTGGGCTCGACAGTATAGAAAATTTTTGCTGGTCGTAGAGGCGTACGATACAGAAGAAATCCGTATGGTAAAGTGCCAATGGCCTCGAAAGATGGACTCACACTACATGAAGCGGACAGAAAACCCTCATATGTATGAAGGGCGTTTACACAATTGTTTTTTTCGGCTCTGTAACAAGGGAAATCGGCTTAATTCCAGTTGCAGAATATTAAGGAAAGCAACAAAGGACAAAGCACTCACGCTGTCAGATTGCTCGGTATTGTTGCTATTACCGAAAAAATACTGCCGCGCAGTTTCCCAAAATCTCCACTCCTTATTAGTTGCACAGCATCGTCGCAAACAACTGCAGGCTTGCCGAAATACCCGATTTTGCAGGAAGTTACCTGAGAGCCCTGATAGTTAGACCCAATCTTTGCATCTCATGGAAAGAGGAATATTGTATCGTCTATTATCAGACATTTTGAAAAATAGAACAAATCTCGCCCGAAATCGACCATATCCAGTTTTAGTTACACTTTTGTCCCGGGGTAGTCTGCTTCCTAGACTAGACAGTATGAACGCAGCCTAACTGTCACATCCAGTTAGGCTGCGTTCATACTTTGCGGCAGCGTACGCTAGCGTTTCCAGCGTTCGGCAGCGGCAGTGACAAGGAAAGGATAGATATCGATCTAGCGTTTGCTAGCGTTTGCCAACGTTCACAAGCGGGGACTAGAGAGTATGGGAGAGTAGGAGAGCGAACGGCTCGATTAGGCGTCGTGGAATTGCGGCGTGTGCAACTGCACCGCACTACTAGACAATACCGTACACTAAATTGGTTAAATTGCATAATGCAATGGTTGAACTGCATAATGCATAATTGTAAAGGATAAAACAACGTGGGATCATTTAGGATCTTTCATAAGGATGAGCATGTATGTGTCGGCCGTATATTCGTCCAGAGAACGTTCACAAAAATTACTTAAAATTCACAAGCGGAACAATTTCCAACAGATCAGCCCTAAAATTTTGGTGCGATGATGTAATAAACATTCCGTTCCAATAGCCAAACCACAGAATTATGCAATTTAACCAGTTTAGTGTACGGTATTGTCCAGTAGTGCGGTGCGGTTGCACAGCCGCTGCAAATTCCACGGCGCCTAACCAGGCCGTTCGCTACTCTCCTATCTTCCCGTGCTCTCTAGTCCCCGCAGCTGACAAACGCTGGTGGAACGCTGGCAACATGCTTAGTAATCGATACCTAAATTTTCCGTTGCCCTCGCTAACTAGCCACCTTCTGGGTGACGTTGGCAAAATGCTAAGATGTGATATCTATTTCTTTCCTTGTTACTGGCCGCTCGCCGAACGCTGGTAGTTACGCCTGCCGCGAACTTATAGATGCAGCCTTAGAGCTCGAAAGTGCTGGCTGTCGCGCCCTTAGGCCTTGGCGCATACTAACTCTCGTTTTAGCAGGACGTGGTATTTGTGGTTCAGTGAATCAAGATTTCCCCGCTGGGCAATGATTTGCTGGGACGCGGACTCTAGCCGATCGAACACAATAGGGTATCAAGTCGTGAACTGTTCACCAAGGAAACACATTACTCATCGCCGCTAAATGCGAAATTCCAGTATTTAATGTCGTATGTTTTTCATGATGCGCTAGCCTTGTTGTAAAGCTTTAGAGTAACATTCTGAAAAGATTACTTCAGTGATTTGCATATTACCATTAGGCGAAGGCTGCCAGTATAGAGGCCCGCGCAAGTTCTTTTGGCAGTCGTCTTCTGCTTAGTTACTCACAATGGACACTCCGAAAGAGACGTGTAACAAACCCTCCGAATGAACCTAACTCTCTAGCCTTCTCGAGCGGTAACTTAATCTGCGTTTATATAGGTTGGAAAGAAAGTCCTGTCACTGTTGTGATTTTTTCTTTTTTATTTTCTAACTCAACATGAAATAAAAACTAATCAATAATATAATCGCCATTGTTAGCCACTACAGTGCTCCACCTAATGGGCAACTCAGCTATCCCCTTCTCCCAGAACTGAGGAGGCTGCGAGTCGAAGAAGTAGGCAACTTCTCGATTGATGCCATCAAATTCGCTGAAGGTTTTCTTACCTAGGAAAGCCTTGAGGGAGCGGAACAAGTAGTAGTCGGAGGGGCTAGGTCTGGAGAATATGGTGGATGGGGAACGGTCTCCCAGCCTAGCTCCTCAATTTGGCGGTGGGTCTCTTTAGCCACATGTGGTCTGGCGTTATCATGGAGGAGGTGCACCGAAGCTCGTCTCGGCCGCTTTTCTCGAAGAGCTTGCGCGAAGTTTCTGGGCGTTTGGGCCGGCCCTCCCCCGGCGTAAACGGTAGCGGTAACCGTATGCCCTTGCGGAAGCAGCTCGTGGTGCAGCATGCCCTTCGAATCCCAGAAGCAGCAGAGGAGGACCTTCTTGGAGTGCAGGTTCGATCTGGGTTGCGTAGGCGGGTCTTCTCCTCGAGGGAGCCACATGGCACGACGTAGGTTGGAATCATAGAGGACCCAGCTTTCATCTCCAGTCACCATATCTTCCAGAAACTCCTTCCGGTTCGTGAGAAGGGAGTGGATCGCAGCATGCTCACCCTGGCATACGCGTACATCTGTTAGAGCATGAGGTATCCATCGCGTGAGGACTTTTCTGTAGCCAAGGGCCTGAAGGCGGTTTAGAGCTGTTGTATGGCTACACCCTAGCCTTGTCGCAATACTGCGCGTGGTAGCCTCTGGATCCTCTCAT